TTTGAAAGAAAAAGTGTGTGTGTGGCATACAGGCCGTGTATGCACCTGTCCACAGACAAGCACCTCCTCTAGAGTAAGAAAGTCAGAACTTGCCTCACCTTTGAAAGAAAAAGTGTGTGTGTGGCATACAGGCCCAGTGTATGTACCTGTCCACAGACGAGCACCTCCTCTAGAGTAAGAAAGTCAGAACATGCCTCGCCTTTGAAAGAAAAAGTGTGTGTGTGGCATACAGGCCCAGTGTATGTACCTGTTAACAGACGAGCACCTCCTCTAGAGTAAGAAAGTCAGAACATACCTCGCCTTTGAAAGAAAAAGTGTGTGTGTGGCATACAGGCCGTGTATGCACCTGTCCACAGACAAGCACCTCCTCTAGAGTAAGAAAGTCAGAACTTGCCTCGCCTTTGAAAGAAAAAGTGTGTGTGTGGCATACAGGCCCAGTGTATGTACCTGTTCACAGACGAGCACCTCCTCTAGAGTAAGAAAGTCAGAACTTGCCTCGCCTTTGAAAGAAAAAGTGTGTGTGTGGCATACAGGCCTAGTGTATGTACCTGTTCACAGACGAGCACCTCCTCTAGATTAAGAAAGTCAAAACTTGCCTCACCTTTGAAAGAAAAAGTGTGTGTGTGGCATACAGACCCAGTGCATGCACCTGTCCACAGACAAGCACCTCCTTTAGAGTAATTAAGTCAGAATTTGCCTCCATGCCTTTTACAAAGTGTGTGTGTGTGTGTGTGTGGTGTACAGCCCCACCTGCAGCTGAAAGCCTCTCTAGAGTGGAAACAGGTAAGCAGCCTCCTTAAAGCACATGCCTGTCTGCAGCTGAGCACCTCTCCTTTAGAGTAAAACAGCTTAAATTCCTAAAATGACTGGAAAGGGAGCCTAGAAAGCCCCCCCCCCCTTCCCCCCAAAAAATGGGCTGATAGAAAATGGGATCTTTTGGCACTCCAGAGCAAAAACAGATATCTGCCCTCCTGATTTTGGGAGGCTCCTAAAAAACAGATCAGAGCCCCCACCGAAAACCGTTAGATGAAACAATTCAAGGTTTACCCCGAATGCACAAGCCTAAAATCTCCTCTGACTGACTCTTAACAAATAAAGTTTGTTGGGGATGGTCAATATTACATACCAGTCCATGAGACTTCTACTGACCAATAGTGGACCTGCCAATCTGCTGTTTTCAGGCTCCATAATAACAGATCCAATTAGTATTTCTTACAGCCCTAATCCTCTATTTCTACTTGTTAGATATGGTCTCTAGAAATATCAGAGGCCTCCCTTTCCAGCTTGTTGGATTTGTTTTTAACCAGTAACCATTTGCCTTGGACAGAAGAGAACATGATGTCCCTATTTGTCAACCTTAACCTTCCAGTTGAGCTGTGAAGACAAGCAGTTATTTGCATCAAGTTCTCACATTTGGATTCAAGTCAGCTGGTTTCCTAACAGGTGGACGGCATGATCCACAGGCTGCTTCAGTAACTTTTCTGTTTCCCATGGGTATGCCACGTGCGAGGGAGAAATTATATGGGAATGTGTCTAAAATATGTATCTGCTCCTTGATTTCCTCTTACATCCTCTCTCTCAGCTGTTCTCTCTACCTCTAAGACCACAAATGAACCAGGTTTTTGGAGCAGGAAGACAGAAAAAATATATAAGTTAAGCACCCTTTTGCTTCTTCCATTTACTGTCTGCTGCTTCACTGCTTTTAACAAGACAAACATGGGAATATCCTGTGCTAATTCCAACATATGTACTCTACCCTTCAAACCTGAGGTACATGATCAGTAGAAACACCTTGATCTGCCTTTTGAGGGAACAGTGCATTTTCAAACCAACAATCGGATGTTCTGTGTGCTCTGCAGAGATGTAAATGGGTGATGAAATGGATAGTTTCGTTTAGCTCTCATCATACTAGTTTTCTGAATAAAAGAATCCCCCGGTGGCACAGTGGGTTAAACCCTTGTGCCAGCAGAACTGAAGACCGACAGGTTGCAGGTTCGAATCCGGGGAGAGCGTGGATGAGCTCCTTCTATCAGCTCCAGCTCCCTTTGCAGGGACATGAGAGAAGCCTCCCACAAGCATGGTAAACCATCAAAACATCCGGGTGTCCCCTGCACAACGTCCTTGCAGATGGTCAATTCTCTCACACCAGAAGCAACTTGCAGTTTCTCAAGTCTTTCCTAACACAACAAAAAATGTTTTCTGAATGCAGATGGGTGTATACAAGGGAGTACTGAAACATATCAGCTGAGATTCTGGATTGCAGAGGCATACCTTAAAGCAGTGTTTCTCAACCTGGGGGTCGAGACCCCTGGGGGTGTCAGAGGGGTCGCTAAAGACCATCATAAAATGCAGTATTTTCTGTTGGTCATGGGGATTTTGTGTGGGAAGTTTGGCCCAATTCTATCGGTGAGGTTCAGAATGCTCTTTGATTGTAGGTAAACTATAAATCCCAGCAACTACAACTCCCAAATATCAAGGTATCTTTTCTCCTAACTCCACCAGTGTTTACGTTTGGGCATATTGAGTATTTGTGCCAAGTTTGGTCCATATCCATCATTGTTTGAGTCCACAGTGCTCTCTGGATGTAGGTGAACTACAACTCCAAAACACAAGGATGATGCCAAGCAAACCTTTCCAGTATTTTCTGTTGGCCGTGGAAGTTCTGTGTGCCAAGTTGGTTTAATTCCATTGTTGGTAGAGTTCAGAATGCTCTTTGATGGAACCACAAATCCAAGCAACTGACAAAATCAATCCCCCCCAACCTCCGCAGTTTTTAAATTTGGGCCAAATGTGGTCCAGTGAATGAAAATACATCCTGCATATTGGATATTTACAATTCATAACAGTAGCAAAATTACAGTTACGAAGTAGCAACTAAAATAATTTTATGATTGGGGAGTCATCACAACATAGGAACTGTATTAAGTGGTCACGGCATTAGGAAGGTTGAGAACCACTGCCTTAAAGGTTCCACTAGTAGAACTGCTCTACGTCTCTCTTCTCTTCCTCTCTCTATCTCACACACAGCCACTCAGTGGAATGGATGCTTGAGTGAAGCATTTGGCGATGAAGATGTAGCTAGTCTAAGCTTTCAGGAAAAGTTAAAGGAGTTTGCACTCTATGTATGAGCACATTCATTTCTTCCCTTGCACTGCACTTGAGGGCTGAAGTGTTTGCCAGGCTCTGGGGACCACAGTTGAGGTGGAGAACACATTAGCAATGCCTCAGAGGTCAACAACTTGGGTTAGGTCAGTGTAGAAACATGTGTGCATTTTAGCACCCTCTTACGGACAAGTTTGACAGCCTTCTCGTTTTCACAGCAGGGTAAACTTCTCAAGCGGCAGAGCGGGAGCTTCACACGAGAAGCTTTAGTTTTGGGGAAAACATACAACCAGCAAATGAGTCAAAGTTGCAGCTCACCAAGTTGTCATCATGCCACATTTATATCCTGTGGGTTTGGGTGTGCATGCACATTTCTGTGTATACATTTCAGTTGAGTCACTTAAACTGTTTCCCTAGTTATCCCTTTCCAGTTTGTAAAATGAAAATGCAAAGATACAAAATGAGGGACGCATGGCTCGAGAGCAGTACGTGTGAAAAAGATCTTGGGTTCCTCGTGGACAGCAGGTTAAACATGAGCCAACAATGTCATGTGGCAGCAAAAAAAGACAATGGGATTTTGACCTGCATCAATAGCAGCATAGTGTCTAAATCTAGGGAAGTCATGCTACCCCTCTTGGTTAGACCACACCTGGAATATTGTGTCCATTTCTGGGCACCACAATTGACGAGGGATATTGACAAGCTGGAATGTGTCCAGAGGAGGGCGACTAAAATGATCAAGGGTCTGGAGAACAAGCCCTATGACGAGCGGCTTAAGGAGCTGGGCATGTTTTGCCTGAAGAAGAGAAGGCTGAGAGGAGATATGATAGCCATGTATAAATATGTGAGAGGAAGTCACGGAGAGGAGGGAGCAAGCTTGTTTTCTGCTTCCCTAGAGACTAGGACAAGGAACAATGGCTTCAAACTACAAGAAAGGAGATTCCTTCTGAACATTAGGAAGAACTTCCTGACTGTGAGAGCCATTAAGCAGTGGAACTCTCTGCCCTGGAGTGTGGTGGAGGCTCCTTCTTTGGAAGCTTTTTAACAGAGGCTGGGTGGCCATCTATCAGGGGTGTTTTGAATGCAATATTCCTGCTTCTTGGCAGGGGGTTGGACTGAATGGCCCACGAGGTCTCTTCCAACGCTATGATTCTATGAAAAGACAAAATGGAGGCCTTAAGGATAATAATCATTTCCACACTGATGTCAGAGAAATGTAATATATTTTATTTTGCTTATAGGAATTGAACTCCCAGTTTTTCATACTTCTCGCAGTCTTTCTGTGTACCTTCCTGCACTCAGTACAACCTTGGTACTAGATAAGCAGTACAGAGTAGTGCTAAAATTGAATTTTAATTCACACTTAATGATTCACAACTACTGACTAAGAAATTCATGAGTTACTAAACTTAAGCCTATAGATGTTGTAGACCAGGGGTTTTCAACCTGTGGGTCCCCAAATGTTTTGGCCTTCAACTCCCAGAAATCCTAACAGGTGGTAAACTGGCTGGGATTTGTGGAAGTTGTAGGTCAAAACAACCGAGGACCCACAGGTTGAGAACCACTGTTGAAGACAGTCCACAATGCTTGATGGCATTTCCTCCCAGGTAAATAATATGAGGACAGGAGCATTGGCCTAAGTAAAATTGATCAAGAACCAACTAGAACTGTTCTAGTTGGTTCCCTTTTGTTATCCAGACCAGAGAAGAATAATCACAATGTCTGGAAAAATGATTTGTTGCTATCGAAATGAAATCCACTTAATGAATTGGGATAGTTTTTAAATACATGATCAGCTTCCTCAAGATTGAATTTCCATTTCTAGGATCAGACTTCTCCTTAAACATCTGTTATTTAAGTCTTAAAATATTTGTGTCCCTTCCAGCTATGACTCTGTCTTCCCTTCTTGTCTTAAGAAACACAGTCATTTACTAAAATTACGCAGACATAGCTTCCACAAGATCAAAGATTGATATCCACGTTGGCTTGACCAAGAGCGCCATCTATAGGAAGAACATGTAGACCTCACAACCTCTGAGGATGCTTGCCATAGATGCAGGCGAAACGTCAGGAGAAATACCTCTAGATAATGGCTCTATAGCCCGAAAAAACCCACAAGAACCTCATGTAGGCTTCGCTTGGCCAAACGTTTTCCTATGAGTAAAAGGGGTCCTTTCCCCCACTTCCTCCCCAAGTCTGCAGCCTCAAGTCACCCCACATAATCTCTGTAACTCCTGCAGCAAGGAGAAGAGAAGGAAGACATTTAGGTCACCATCACCATTCATGGGTCTTTTCTCTACCATGCTCATCTTCAAGACGCAAATTAAGTACCTAAGATAGTATCTCTCGAGGCGTCCAAATTTAAAATGCATATGATTTGGGAAATTAAAAGGTCTTCTTAAAGCTGTCTTTAAAAGTCTACAATGTCAACCCCTCCTCCACCCAACTGTATCACAAAATTGGCACCTGCCTGAACTGGACTCATATATGTATAGCATAGTTTAAGCAAAAAAATAGAATATTTTAAGTGGAAAAATCAAGAATGATTCCCTGCCATCCTGAATTTGGCGCTTTCTCTTTGTCAAAAAATGAGAGAGAGAGAAAGTGAGAAAGGAAGGAAAAGAGTGCCGTATCTGTAATCAGCTGTTGGAAGTTTCTGCTTCATGGTAAGACCGGCCTTGCATAGGCATGCCTTTTTACAAGAGATGGCGGGCACGGTGCGTGAGGCTTTCACCCATCCACAGAACCACTGCTTTTGTTCTTGCGGCTGAGTGGGAAGGCAGACTTGCTCTGTGGCTGTGTCATCTTGCTGGCCAGGTAGACAAAGGGTTCAATGAGGGTCCGGCGGTCTGCAACTGAGATTTCCCATAGTTTTACCTTCTCTGCCTTCGCCCAGTGCTGCACAGCATCGTGGTCTACACGCCGTTGGTCTTGGAGGTCACACTTGTTGCCTAAGACCACAATGGTGACCTGCTCAGATTCATAAAGAAAAAGAAAACAGTGAGTACAATTATACAGTTTGGACTTTCATAAGATGTATTGACCGAAAGGTCGCTGATTCGAATCCGGGGAGCGGCGTGAGCTTCCACTGTCAGCCCCAGCTTCTGCCAACCTAGCAGTTCGAAAACATGCAAATGTGAGTAGATCAATAGTGGGAAGATAACAGCACTCCATGCAGTCATGCCGACCACATGACCTAGGAGGTGTCTACGGACAACGCCAGCTTTTCAGCTTAGAAATGGAGATGAGTACCACACCTGAGTCGGACACGACTGGACTTGATGTCAGGGAAAAACCTTTACCTTTACTATCCATAAAGACTTTGGACTATTGATTAAAAATGATGCCCTGTGTTCTCAACACAAAAAAAACTACATCCTATCTATAAGTGCTTCCTATCTATAAGTTCTGCTTCATGGTAAGACCGGCCTTGCATAGGCATGCCTTTTTACAAGAGATGGTTGGACGGGGTTACACTCCCCCTGAAGCCACAGGTCTGCAGTTTGGGAGTCCTCTTGGATTCATCGCTCACGCTTGAGGCTCAGGCGTCGGCGGTGTCCGGGAGGGCTTTGCACAACTGAGACTTGTGCGCCAGCTGCGACCGTACCTCGCGAAGGCTGATCTGGCCGGGGTGGTCCATGCCTTGGTCACCTCTAGATTGGATTACTGCAATGCGCTCTACATAGGGCTGCCCTTGAAAACGGCTCGGAAATTCCAACTGGTCCAACGGGCAGCAGCCAGGATGCTAACCGGGGCTCATTACAGAGAGAGGTCAACCCCTCTGTTTAAGGAGCTCCACTGGCTGCCATTTATTTTCCGAGCCCAATTTAAGGTGCAGGTGCTTACCTACAAAGCCCTGAACAGTTTGGGACCACCCTACCTGCGTGACCGCATCTCCGTCTACGAACCCACACGCTCACTTCGGTCATCTGGAGAGGCCCTGCTCGTGATCCCACCCGCGTCGCAAGCGCGCTTGGTGGGGACACGAGACAGGGCCTTTTCTGTGGCGGCCCCGACTTTGGAACGCCCTCCCAAAAGATCTTAGACAGGCCCCTATATTGGCAGTCTTCAGAAAGAATTTAAAAACTTGGCTGTTCCGATGTGCCTTCTCAGATTAGGAACCCCATCACCAAGTCCTAGAAGCACTTTAGTAGAATTAAGATCGCTGCACACCGCACATCGCACTTACTTTATAATCCTACATTCCTCCTGCCACTTCAGCACTTTTAATCCTGTACCCACTGCTCTGGCCGGCCCAGTTTTAAAGTGTCCCGATGTATTGTTATTGTTGTTGTTTAATTTGTTTAACCGTTTTGATTTGCTTCTGGTATTGTTGTTGTATTATGTTTTGTTATATTGTGTTTTGAGGCTTCGGCCTATGTGAGCCGCATCGAGTCCTACGGGAGATGCTAGCGGGGTACAAATAAAGATAATAATAATAAATAATAATAATAATAATAATAATAAGTGAACTTTAATAAGAAATAATAGTAAATAATAATAAAACTTTATTTATACCCCGCTAACATCTCCCCAAGGGACTCGGTGCAGCTTACATGAGGCTGAGCCCACAATACATCAGTAAAAACAACAACAGTAATACAAAACAATAAAATAAAACTCATAAAAAATAAGCAGTAAACATCAACAATAACAATTTGTGTGGCTTGCTGTTGACCTTTGCAGCCCGAAAGACAGTTGCATCGGTCAAGTAGGAAATTTAGGTACCGCTTATGCAGGGAGGCTAATTTACGATGCCATAAAAATCTCCAGCAAGCATGCAAAAAATGAGGAAGTACTTCATCAGTGTCACAAATGGACAGTGAAGCGACAGCTCCCCTGATGGCCAGAATACCCTCATGAAAAAGCTGGAATGTTAAATAGCCTCTGTATGTCTGTCTATATATATTGTGTATTTCTGGCATTGAATGTTTGCCATGTATATGTACATTGTAATCTGCCCTGAGTCCCCTGCGGTGTGAGAAGGGCGGAATATAAATACTGTAAAAAATAAATAATAAATAAATAGTGCAAACAAGGTGCTTTATGGAGCTCTGGGTTCAAAAATACTTCAAGACCAAAATGACTCTAGCAGAGTTATTTGGCATTCTAATTCTATTTTGGCCCCATTCTAAAATAGGAAAAAAAAAATTCCAGAAAATTACCTAGAGGTAACTACTGCTTCTGGAATATCACATCCAAGTACCCAAAATGACAGTGGCGCAACCAACATTTGGTCCAGAGTGGCTGAGCATCCAACTGTCCCAGTCATCCCACTAGGGTTGCGATGTCAGGAGCATCATGGGCCTTGAGATTTTCCAGCCCAAATCTGGATCCAAGGACAATGATGTCACAAGAGGTGAGACCCAAAGCATGAAACATTAAGACTCAACCACAATTTCTCTGATGTCCTCTCTTATATGAACTGCGACCTTCATTCCACATACAGAAGCCAACTAGACTGTCGACTGAATCTGTCTTCAGCACAGGTAATGGCACCACTTCCTCCACCACACCTGAGAGCAGCAATAAGGCTTAATGAGGCACAAGTCATTGTAGAAAACACACATACAAGGGTTGAATGAAAAGTAATGCCCCCACCTTCATAACTCCTCAACAGATGGCAGTACTGGTATGAGGCAGGTATTGGCTTGTTCAGTAGACTCTCCTCTACAGTTCCATCTTGGCAGGAAGCCTTAGCATTGAACGGTTGTGTTGTTAAAGTGTGAAGTATGGAACCCTGCGCAGACGGTCGGTCAATGCGACTTAAGCACTGGAATCAGTAAGGGGAAAAGGGTTCTGAAGAGGAATTCATAGAATCATAGAATCAAAGAGTTGGAAGAGACCTCATGGGCCATCCAGTCCAACCCCCTGCCAAGAAGCAGGAATTGCATTCAAATCACCCCTGACAGATGGCCATCCAGCCTCTTTTTAAAAGCTTCCAAAGAAGGAGCCTCCACCACACTCCGGGCAGAGAGTTCCACTGCTGAACGGCTCTCACAGTCAGGAAGTTCTTCCTCATGTTCAGATGGAATCTCCTTTCTTGTAGTTTGAAGCCATTGTTTTGTGTCCTAGTCTCCAGGGAAGCAGAAAACAAGCTTGCTCCCTCCTCCCCGTGACTTCCTCTCACATATTTATACATGGTTATCATATCTCCTCTGGCCATCCAGCCTCTGTTTAAAAGCTTCCAAAGAAGAAGCCTCCACCACACTCCGGAGCAGAGAGTTCCACTGCTGATATTCATCAGAGAATGCAAGCTGTTTATGGTGATTGTATTGATGTTAGTACTGTGCATCACTGGGCGAGTAAGTTTAAAGATGTTGAGGTGGGAACATATGATTTGCGTGACAAACAAAGAGTTGGACATCCTGTGACAGCAACCACTGAGTTTCACAAGAAAAAGGTTGACAGATTGATTCAGGACGATTGTCATATCACTCAGAGAGAAATTTCAAGCATAATCAGCATTTCACAAGAACGTGTGGGTCACATTATTGCTTTGCCTGGCTATCAGAAGATCTGTGCACAATGGGTTGTGGAAACAGAGTGTTGACTTTTTCCGTGACGGCTTCAGAAAACTTGTTCATTGTTGGCAGAAATGTATCCAATTATCTGGTAATTATGTGGAAAAGTGAATAGTGGTAGTTAAAGAGCACATTCTAAGGATTATTTCTGTGTTTGATTTATTAAAATATTCCCATCCAAACACAAGTAAAAAAGATGGAGGCATTACTTTTCATTCAACCCTTGTATATGTCTTCTAAAACCATGCCACTACTCGGTGTATGCTGCCATCTGCTGTGATAATCATTTGTCTCCTTTAGCTTAATCCAAGGCCAGATCTGAGAATGAGGCTTAGAAACAACATCATCACAACACAAAGGAATTGTATGTGTACATGAGATACCCTGCAGACAATTAAATTGGAAAAGTGCACGAGGATTGTTCACCTACCTCTTTTTTATCCTTGCTCTTGTCTATCTCCTTCTTGAGTACTTCCACCCTCTTGAAGGACTCTTTGCTGTCAATGCTGTAGACTAAGACATAGCCGTCTGTGCAGGAGAAGCAGTGCTTGGGCAGCTCCATCCCATCCCTCAAGCCTCGGGTATCATAGAAACGTACTTGTTCCCGCACCCCTCGATCTGTCTCTATGGAGCCCACATAGATGTCCTCCTGGGTTTCAATCATCTCAGAACCTGCAAAGAGTCAAGAAAGCATACAGCAATCAATTCTACAGGAATAAACACTATTATCTTTGACTAGAAGTGCGTTTTTTTCCCTGAGTCTTCATACAAACAATATCCGCAGCATGTTTTACTAGCTAACATTTCCTTGTTGTATTCTAACTTAGCTTGTTGTTTTCCCTAGCAAGGATTATTAACAAGGGCCAAACAGATAGAAAATGAGACCCAAAGAAAAGATTACATGAAATGCACCTTTGTATTGAATATACAGACTTTTTCAGTAGGCAGTTTTGGTTGATTGAAAAATTAATGTTGGTGGGAGTATGTGACAGGGAGAAACAGAAAATTACCAGGATTGCAGCAAGGTTGTGGTTGTTATTGCTGTTATTATTACTGTTGTTGTTGTTATTGTTATTATTTGAAACACAACAAGATGAGTCCACAGCAAACAAGATCACTCTGCTGGCTGTTGTATTGGACCTTAAAAACTCTGGCATAGACACTGGGAACTGGGAAGCCCTGGCCCTTGACCGCTCCAGCTGGAGGTCAGCTGTGACCAGCAGTGCTGCAGAATTTGAAGAGGCACGAATGGAGGACGAAAGGGAGAAGCGTGCCAAGAGGAAGGCGCATCAAGCCAACCCCGATCAAGACCGCCTTCCACTTGGAAACCAATGCCCTCACTGCGGAGGAAGATGCAGAGCAAGAATAGGGCTCCACAGCCACATACGGACCCACAAGAATACTGGAAGACAATCCTCCTCGGAAAACGAGGGATCGCCTAAATAAGTAAGTAAGTAAGTAAGTAAGTATTGGATCACATGTTGGACACTTCCCATGTGTCTAGGACTGTGTGATGTATCGGCGAATAATAAGTGCAGATCCCAGTAAGGTGGCCTTTTGCAGCTGGCAGATGGTAATTTTGTCAACACTGATTGTGTTTAAGTGCACGCCAAGGTCTTTAGACACTACACCCAGTGTGCTGATCACCACTGGGACCACCTTTACTGGTTTGTAAAGGTTGTTGTTGTTGTTATTATTATTATTATTATTATTATTATTATTATTATTATTATTATTATTATTATTATTATATTGTCTTGCATTATATATACAATCAGCCCTCTGTATCCAGATTCTGCATCCATGGATTCAACCACCCACGTTTTGAAGAAAAAAAATTCAAAATCCCAAAAGTAAATCTTTATTTTGCCATTTTTATAAGGGACACAACTTTATTTCACCTTTGTATATACAATAGGTAGGTAAATTTTATTATGGTCCAGAGACCCTTATTACACTGTAGCATACAAATTATACAGGTAATGAGATTAAGAACATCCAGTGGATTAAATTTGGACACAATAAAAGCTGCTTAAAATAAATGTTGGCTAAAAACAAGGGTAAAAAGCTACAAGTCGAGTTTCCCTTATCCAACTTTCACTCATTTAACGTTCTGTATTATCCAACACAGTCTGCCTCCCACCTGGATCCACAGCTGTTTCAATACATTGTGATGTTTTGGTGTTACATTCGTAAATACAATAATTACTACATAACATTACCTTGTATTGAACTGCTTTTTGTGTCGATTTGTTGTAAAACATGATGTTTTTTGTGCTTAATTTGTAAATATCACAGCATAATTTGACATTGAATAGGCTTTTCCTTAATCCCTCCTTATTCTCCAACATTTTCACTTATCCAATGTTCTGCCGGCCTGTTTATGTTGGATAAGTGAGACTCTACTGTAATGGGACTTGAGCATCCATTGATTTGGATGAGGGATTTGTCCTGGAAGCTAAAGCATTGAATCCCAGGGCCCATTGTATAAAGTTGTTATGTTAATAAACATTTTAAGAATGAAGACCATGCTGTATTGCTCAGCAGGGAAAGGGGGCACAAGGCCCTCACTCACCAACCACATGATTCCCATAGAGAAGCTGCTCCAGGATGGAGGTCTTCCCAACTGATGCTTGCCCACAGACGACCACTTTGCAACTTTTCCCCATCTTCTTGTCAGCGGGAGAAAAAGGATGAATACAGGAAGCTATTAAGGGAGAGTAGGGAGGGGAAGAAAAAAATATCAGCACACAAAGCACAAAAATACAAATCCCTGCGGGCTGGGTTTTGTTTTTGTTCGGGTTGTTTTTTAGAATTTCAGGGAAGATCTTCCAGTAGACATGTAGGTTCCTTCTGAAACACTGGTGTGTACCAATGGTTTAGAGCAGTGGTTCTCAACCTGTGGTTCCCCAGATGTTTTGGGCTTCAACTCCCAGAAATCCTAATAGCTGGTAAATTGGCTGGGATTTCTGGGAGTTGTAGGCCAAAACATCTGGGGACTCACAGGTTGAGAACCACTGGTTTAGAGGAAATGGGGACTGTGCAAGAATGTATGTGGCTCTGCAATGATCAGGTGTGCTTGAGATCAACGCTGAAGAAAGGTGTGTTTTTTTCCTTAAAATTTGCAGCATCTTTTGCTGGAGATTTCTTCTTTTAATGCAATTTTCCTACTTCTTGGCAGGGGGTTGGAATGGATGGCCCACAAGGTCTCTTCCAACTTTATGATTCAATTATTCCATAATTCTGGGGGTGTAGTCCAATAAGCTAATTTTTCCATGCACAGCTTCAGTCGGATAGTTCCTAGAACTCTCTATCAAAAGGGAGCGTGCAGCTATTCTGTCTTAGGTAAAGGCAAAGGTTTTCCCCTTACATTAAGTCCAGTCGTGTCCAACTCTGGGGGTTGGTGCTATATGACCATTTTCCAGCTGTATGACCATGTTCCAACAGCAGTCTTGCCTAATGTTTTACTTGCCTCTGTGGCTGGCATCTTCAGAGGTTCCGTTGGCAGTGAGGCAAGTGGAGTGTATTTATTTATTTATTTATTTATTTATTTATTTGCTGCATTTGTTGACCACCATTCTCAGCCCTAGGGCGACTCACGGCGGTGTACAACATATAAAAGACAAATTTACAATAAAGCACTAACACAACGAAATATCATCCTAACTATCAATAATACACTAACAATACTCATGGAATGTCCAGAATAGGAGAAAAAACCCTTATCTATTAAAAGGAAGTGTGAATGTTGTAATTAGTAAGTTTGGATTAGCACTTGAGTAGCAAAGTCGATCAGTGAGGGCATCTGCATAGAGGTAGCCTGGCCTTTGTTGCCTAGAGGCATCCTGTTTGGGAGGTGTTAAGTGGCCCTCAATGGCTTGTTGTCTGGGGTTAGAACAGTGTTCATTATTTACTGTCTTGATTCTGGTGTTTTTTAATACTAGCAACTATATATTTTTTTCATTTTAATGGCTTCCTACTTTCTGTTGAAATTGTCTATGTGCTTGTGGATTTCAACGGCTTCTCTGTGTAGTCTGACATGATGGTTGTCCGAGTGGTCCAGAATTTCTGGGTTCTCAAATAATATTCTGTTGACTTTCCACAGGGGTGAGTGTGTGTATATATATATATATTAGCCATTCCCTGCCACGTGTTACTGTGGCCCAGTTTGTGTATATGTGTTTTGTGTGTGTATATATGTGCGTATATATTTGTGTATATGTGTATATATGTGGTTTTGTTCATGCATTGCAATATATTATTTATTTTTTGGCTTTTTAAGTCTCTTCGGATGTGTTTTTTATTGTTTTATGAGTGATAGTCACTCGTTGGCCTGATAGGTGTATTGTGTACAAATTTGGTGTCAATTCGTCCAGTGGTTTTTTAGTTATGTTAATCCCACAATTGAACATTACATCTTTTTTTATATAGAAGATACACACACCACTTGCCTCACTAGCAAGAGAACCTCTGAAGATGCTAGCAACAGGTGCAGGCAAAACGTTAGGAGAGAATGCTACTGGAACATGGCCATGCAACCCAAAAACTCACACAACCCAATTGCAATGAGGTCAAGCTTCTTGTTGTTTGAACCCCATTTGATCATGAACAGGAGCTAGGATTCTCAGTAGCAACTGAAAAGCCCCTTGCTGGCTGTCAAGGTGGCCTTGGGGAACATTATCAACGCTGCCATGATCATGACTGCATATTGTTATTGAGTATGGAGCAGTTACAGATCTATAGCTCTATAGATCTATATACATCTCTATAACTGCAATACAAAATGCCAGTCATTGTTTTTAAATTGTTTTCAAATTGTCTTATATTTTAAATATCAAATGGTTAAATATATTTTTTAATATTCTGAAATTATTCTTACTGTTTTCATCTATTTTGAACTTATTTTATTGTACAGTACCTAAAGATCCTCAGCTATAAGGTGGGATGTAAATATAAAAATGTAAATGTAAAAAAGCAGTATGATCAAGAAATCTGAGTGCTGGACTAGATGTCTGGAAGGACAAGGTTCAAATCCTCATTCAGCCATGGAAACCCACTGGGGCCTCTTCTACACTGGCATCTAATGTAGTTTGAAACTGAATTATATGGCATTATAGATGAGAACCGAGAGATCCAAGGTCAAGTCATACACTTTCAGCCTCAGAGAAAGCAAAAGGCAAGCCTATGTTGAATAAATCTTGCTCAAAAAAATTCCTAGAGTAAGTTGCCATAAGCCAAAGTCAACCTGAACATAAATACACAAATAAATAAATTTAGGAGCTCGTTCATCATGACAATAAGGAACTCAAGTAATGGGAAATGTGAAGGGCTTGTATCATGATATCCTCATGCTTGCAAAGATACATTTGAGCATATCATAAACAACTGCTGATGGAGATTACAGACTCTACATTGCATATCAACATAAAGCAGTGTATGTGGATACATGGCTGACATCCCATTCTGATATCAGTTCTGCCAGCATAATCATATCACCCACAATGCAGCCGTATTTCACCCTGCATTAGACCAATTAAAATGCATGCATGATCCAAAAATAAGAGTTTATCTGCAATGGCTGTTTTATACTCAGGACCACAAGTTCCTTGACCACTGCAAGCGCAGCATTAAAAAAATAAAACAGAAGCTGTTACTAATCCAACCAGTTTTAATCATGAATTTTAAACTCGTGCCTTGTGTTCACTATATTTTAATCTTTGTTCTGTGTATCTGAATATATTTATTTTGTAGAATTATGTTTTAATGTATGTATCTTATATAACAATTTTGTGTTTTTAGCAATGTTGTAACCCACCTTGAACCACGAGGAGAGGCGGATAAGGAATCAAATTATTATTATTATTATTATTATTATTATTATTATTATTACTATTATTATTATCCCAAGTGTAGATTCTGCAAGGAAACAGATGAAACAACAGATTACATCCTCAGCTGCTGCAAGAAGATCATGCAGACAGACAACAAGCAGAGGCATAATACCATTGCTCAGATGATTCATTGGAATCTGTGCCACAAATGCCATCTGCCTGCGACAAAGAACTGGTGGGATCACAAGCCGGAAAAAGTTACAGAAAATGAACACGTCAAACTACTCTGGGACTTCCAAATTCAGACAGACAGAGTTCTGGAGCACAATACTCCTGATCTCACGATCGTGTTGAAAAACAAAGTATGGATCGTCGATGTTGCAATCCCAGGTGACAGCAGTATTGCAGAGAAACAACTGGAAAAGCTGACACGATATGAGATTTAAAGATCTAACTGCAAAGACTCTGGCACAAACCAGTCAAGGTGGTCCCAGTGGTGATCAGCACACTGGGTGCAGTGCCTAAAGACCTTGGCCTGCACTTAAACACAGTCAGCGCTGACAAGATTACCATCTGTCAGCTGCAAAAGGCCACCTTATTGGGATCTGCATGCATTATTCGCCGATACAGTCCTAGACAGTCCGACGTGTGATCCAGTACAACAGCCAGCAGAGTGACCTTGTTTGCTGTGAACTCATCTTGTTGTGTTTCAAATAATAACAATAATTCTTTTTCCTACCCATCTCTCCTACGGCTAAAGGCAGGTTACAACATTGCAAAAACACATAATCAGAGCATATAATCATTTAAAAACACTCTGTAGAATACGCATATTAAAACTTATTTCCATAAAATACATAATAAAATACACAAAACAATAATTTTATTTATTATGAATAAATTATTACCATTAATAATAACAATAATAATAATAATAATAATAATAATAATAATAGCCACAGTGTACAAATCATTCTTTAAATACTGTATACATGTCGGCTCTGCATAGCAACATCCCATGTGAAGAGGCTCAGATGTAGTTAGTTACAGTTCATGACAATCTGTATTGTATTTGTCACCTGTTCTATCCCCCAACATTTGACAAAATTGACTTAAGATTATGCCGCAACAAATCTGTAATATTTTAGGCATCACAAGGCTCTTTTCCGAAATCATACTGGCAAACAAACTAAACAGCCAGGATTAGCTGTTAACTCCCTGGAGCCTATGGAAATGGTATCAAACTGTGTTAATTTTTCAGTGTAGATGTACCCTCCCCTGGAACAGCAGCAAAAGAGGTGTCAAATTGCATGCAATATGATGATGCAGATCCAGAAGAACCCTATGGTTTTTCTGAAAGAGTGTATTCTGCCTAAGAGACTGACCTGAGAAAGCAGCAGCCAATGCAGGCTGTTTCAAAGCACCTGCCCAGGTGAGGATCTGAGCTTACCTTGCCAAAGCACCTGCTTCCTTCCTTCTTTGCTTTCAGATTGCCTTCACTCTCACTCAACAAGGGGAGGGACCAAGAGTAGACAAGTTTGGAAAGAGAGGCCAAAAAAGAGGAGGTTGCAGCCCACAGCTCCATCTAGGGCTGCATTTAAAATAGTGCATTTTCCTGTCCTTGCCAGGGATTCAATTGATGCTCTGCCACTGGACATACTTTTAAAAAGAGATCATTAGCCCAATAGTGTCTACATTGTGCAGTCGTTTCCAACTCTTCGTGACCTCATGGACCAGTCCACGCCAGAGCTCCCTGTCGGCTGTCACCACCCCCAGCTCCTTCAAGGTCAATCCAGTCACTTCAAGGATCCCATCCATCCATCTTGCCCTTGGTCGGCCCCTCTTCCTTTTTCCTTCCTTTTCCCCCAGCATAATTGTCTTCTCTAAGCTTTCCCTTCTTCTCATAATGTGGCAAAAATACTTCAACTTTGTCTCTACTATCCTTCCCTCCAATGAGCAGTCGGGCTTTATTTCCCGAAGTATGAACTGGTTGGATCTTCTCGCAGTCCAAGGCACTCTCAGAACTTTCCTCCAACACCACAGTTCAAAAGCATCGATCTTCCTTCGCTCAGCCTTCCCTAAGGTCCAGCTCTCACATCCGTAGGTTACTACAGGGAATCCCATTGCTTTGACTGCGGATCTTTGTTGCCAGTGTGATGTCTCTACTCTTCGCTATTTTATCGAGATTGGACATTGCTCTCCTCACAAGAAGTAAGCGTCCCCTGATTTCCTGGCTGCAGTCTGCGTCTGCAGTAATCTTTGCACCTAGAAATACAAAGTCTGTCATGGTCTCCATGTTTTCTTCCTCTATTTGCCAGTTATCAATCATTCTTGTTGCCATAATCTTGTTTTTTTATGTTTAACTGCAACCCAGCTTTTGCGCTTTCTTCTTTCACCTTGATTAGAAGGCTCCTCAGCTCCTCCTCGCTTTCGGCCATCAAAGTGGTGTCATCTACATATCTGCATATCTGCCTACCAAGCTGTTCAAAAACATGCAAATGTGAGTAGATCAACAGGTACCGCTCTGACGGGAAGGTAACTGTGCTCCATGCAGTCATGCCAGCCACATGACCTTGGAGGTGTCTATGGACAACGCTGGCTCTTCAGCTTAGAAATGGAGATGAGCACCAACCCCCAGAGTTGGACATGACTGGACTTAATGTCAGGGCAAAACCTTTATCTTTACTTTATACTAGCTGTCCCCTGCCACGCGTTGCCAAACTCCATCTGTGTTCATATTTGGGCATATGGAATATTTGTGCCAAGTTTGGTCCAGATCCATCATCGTTTGAGTCCACAGTGCTTTCTGAATGTAAGTGAACTGCAACTCCCAAACTCAAGGTCAAGGCCCACCAAACCATTGTAGTGTTTAGAATCCCCAAAGATTCTATTTTCCCCAGTGTTCACATCTGGGCATCTGGGCATATTGAGTATTCCTGTAGAGTTTGGTCCAGATCCAGCATTATTTGAGTCCACAGTGATCTCTGGATGTAGGTGAACTATAACTCCAAAACCAAAGGACACCCTTCCAGTATTTTCTGTTGGTCATGGGAGAACTGTGTGCCAAGTTTGGTTCAATTCCATCATTGGTGGAGTTCAGAATGCTCTTTGATTGTAGATGAAGTATAAATCCCAGCAACTACAACTCCCAAGTGACAAAATCAGGTTTTTTTTAGTGATGGTCACTCCTTGGGTTAGTAGGTGTCTTGTGGCCAAATTCGGCAGCAATTCATCCAGTGGTTGGTGGGGTTCAGAATGCTCTTTGATTGTAAGTGAACTATAAATCTCAGCAACTATAGATCCCTGTAGAGTTTGGTCCAAATCCATCATTGTTTGAGTCCAAAGTGATCTCTGGATGTAGGTGAACTACAACTCCAAAACTATATAAATTGCAATATAATAATATTGTATTATGATTAGTTTTATACTCTTACATTATAATACAAGACACAACCTTTGTCTCGTGGGGTTCCTCAGGGTTCAATACTGTCTCCCATGCTGTTTAACATCTACATGAAGCCGCTGGGAGAGATCATCCGGAGTTTCGGAGTACGGTGTCATCTCTACGCAGATGATGTCCAACTCTGTCACTCCTTTCCACCTGCTACTAAGGAGGCTGTCCAGGTCCTGAACCGATGTCTGGCCGCTGTGACAGTCTGGATGAGGGCGAACAAATTGAAACTGAATCCAGACAAGACAGAGGTACTCCTGGTCAGTCGCAAGGCCGAACAGGGTATAGGGTTACAGCCTGTGCTGGATGGGGTCGCACTCCCCTTGAAGGCGCAGGTTCGCAGCTTGGGTGTGATCCTGGATTCATCGCTGAGCCTGGCCCCAGGTCTCAGCGGTGACCAGGGGAGCATTTGCACAGCTTAGGCTCGTGCGCCAGCTGCGCCCGTACCTTGGGAAGTCTGACTTGGCCAGGTAGTCCACGCTCTGGTTACATCCCGTTTAGACTACTGCAACACTCTCTACGTGGGGTTGCCTTTGAAGACGGCCCGGAAGCTCCAACTGGTCCAACGTGCGGCAGCCATGATACTAACAGGAGCGGGACGCAGGGAGCATACAACCCCCCTGTTGTACCAGCTCCACTGGCTGCTGATTTGCTACCGGGCTCAATTCAAGGTGCTGGCGTTGGCCTATAAAGCCCTAAACGGTTCTGGCCCAAGTTACCTATCCAACCGCATCTCCACCTATGAACCCACCAGGACTTTGAGATCTTCAGGGGAGGCCCTGCTCTCGATCCCGCCTGCATCACAGGCGCGGCTGGCGGGGACGAGAGACAGGGCCTTCTCGGTGGTGGCCCCTCGGCTGCGGAACGCCCTTCCCACGGACATCAGATTGGCTCCCTCATTGATGGTATTCCGGAGAAGAGTGAAGACTTGGTTATTCGAACAGGCGTTTGAATAAAAAAGTGCAATGAATTTTCAGGAAATGGAACTACGACTGACGAGTTTGAATCATGATTCTAGTTATGAGACGCCAATTGATTGATTGTATATTATTGTTAAATTGCTTAACTTGCTTCTGTGTTAACTGTTTTTAAGTATCTTGTTCATACCGCATTGAATTTTTGCCTTGATTATTCGCCTTGTTTTTGCTTGATTGTTGTAAACCGCTATGAGTCGCCTTAGGGCTGAGAATGGCGGTATACAAGTGAAGGAAATAAATAAATAAATAAATATTATTATTATCCATATTCTATGTACATACAATATATTATATTATTAGCACTGAACAATATTAGTAGCTATTTATTAAATAAATTATTTAGTAATTTATTTATTAAATAAATAGTGTAGCCAAAGCCAAACTCTGTCCTGCCACAGAGTCCTCAACTCTCCCACTTGGTAACCTAGGAGACCCAGAGGTTCCCTCTTGGCGGACTTAGCCCAACCGGAAACGGCCTCTCTAGCCCCCATCTCCCTCTCTCCCTCTCCGGAAGTGCACTTTTTTCCTGTCTTCCGCTCTCTCCTCTCGTTCGCCTCGCGCTCTCTCTCTCTCTCTCTCTCTCTCTCTCTCTTTTCCCGGCTCGCCGGCCGTTGATTGCAGCAACAAGGAAGCAAGATGGCGTCGGCGGGCGGAGATTGCGACGTGATTATGGCGGCCGCCCCGACGGTGGCTTCGCATCCTGAGGCGCCGGTGATGCTGGGCGACGAGGACGAGGAGTCGGAGACGCGGAGGTAAGGCCTGGCTCCTCTCCCGAGGCGGGAAGGGCCCGCTTCTTCGCTTCAGGACGGGGAGGAGGAGCCTGCTTCACAGGAAAGCGAGGGGAAAGGAGGCCCTCTCCAGGGAAGCCTTGGCGGGGCCTTCTGCAGGCAACATTGTCATGCCTCTCAGCCCCTTTCTCTGGGTTCTGGAGTGCCAGAATTCTGCACCCCAGCATGAATGCTGTTTGACCCCACTTTAACTGCTTTAACTCCATGTTATGAGGCCCTGGGATTTGTAGTTTGCTGGGAGCAGACGAGGTCGAAGCCCTTGGCAACTAAAGTGGATCCAAGTTTGCAAACAAACCATTAATTCAGGGTTGCTGTGAGTTTTTCGGGCTGTATGGTCGTGTTCCAGTATTGAATGAATTGTTTACTGTACCAGCCATAGGCCATGACATCACATAATATACAACCTTTAAAGTACAATGAGAAGTTTCCAATATGACTATTATAAACTTATTCAATATACTGGCTCTTTGAAATTATAGTAGTGGTGACATGATAGCAATCACAACGGTCTGATTTGTAACATCCCAAGCCATATCCATTTCTCGCCTCTGCTGTGGATTTTAATATTTAAGAGGACCAGACGGATGTTGTATGTTGTGTTTGCACTGTCTGTTTTCGGAGCCCCCAGTGGCGCAGTGTGTTAAACCCCTGTGCCGGCAGGACTGAAGACCGACAGGTCGCAGGTTCGAATCCGGGGAGAGGCGGATGAGCTCCCTCTACCAGCTCCAGCTCCTCATGCGGGGACATGAGAGAAGCCTCCCACAAGGATGATAAAAACATCGAATCCTCTGGGCGTCCCCTGAGCAATGTCCTTGCAGACCAATTCTCTCACACCAGAAGCGACTTGGTTTCTCAAGTCACTCCTGACACAACAAAAATAATAATATTATTATTAACTTTATTTGTGCCCCGCTAACATCTCCCGAAGGACTCGATGCTGCTTACACAGGCCAAGGCCTCAATAAAACAACAGCATAACAAATACATAATAAAACTCATAAAACAAACCAAAAACATTAAAGCAACAATGAAAACAATAAGACAATACACCGTGACACATTTAAAAACTAGGGCCGGCCAAATGTAATGGGTACAGTTAAAAGTGCTGGACATGACAGGTGAAATGTAAGGATTCTAGGGTAGGTGCAGTGTGCAGACAGTCTTAAATCTCTAATAAAGTGCAACTGGGACATGATGCTGGGAGTTTCCTATTCTGGAAAGGCACACTGGAACAGCCAGGTCTTCAAGCTCTTCCTAAAGGCTGTCAATGATGGGGCTTGTCTTATGTCCTTGGGGAGGGTGTTCCAGAGTCGGGGGGCAACCACAGAGAAGGCCCTGTCCCTCGTCCCCACCAGGCGCACTTGCGACGCGAGCAGGGCCTCTCCAGATGAACGGAGGGAACGTGGGTTTGTATACGGAGATGCGGTCACGCACATAATATACAACCTTTAAAGTACAATGAGAAGTTTCCAATATGACTATTATAAACTTATTCTATATACTGGCTCTTTGAAATTACAGTAGTAGTGACATCATAACAATCACAAAGGTCTGATTTGTAACATCCCAAGCCATATCCATTTCTAGCCTCTGCTGTGGACTTTAATAATAATAATGGTAATAATATATATTTGTATTCTATTTTAAGAGGACCAGACGTATGTTGTGTTTGCACTGTCTGTTTTTTTATAAGGCCAACTGGCTAATCAATAAAATTGTTGTTGTAATAATAGTAATCATCATCACTTTCTATCCCGCCTCCATCTCCCCAAAGGGACTCGGGGTGGCTTACATGGGGCCATGCCCAGAAAACATACAGTTAAAAACAGAACAGCAAAATATAAAACAGCATAAAAACAACAACAACATCAAACAATAAAAGCAAGAATCATAAGCAACAACATAGGTACCTCTAATCTCAATTTTTGCGTGGTGAGGATCAATATTTATTTATTTATTTGCAGTATTTATATTCCTCCCTTCTCACCCCGCAGGTGACTTAGGGCAGATTACAATGTACATATACATGGCAAACATTCAATACCATAGACACACAACATATATAGACAAGCACTCAGAGGCTATTTAACAATCCAGCGTTTTCATGAGGATATTCTGGCCACCAGGGGAGCTGTCGCTTCACCCTCCATAAAAAAAACACTAGAATCAAGAGAGTAAATAAAGAACACCACTCAAACAGGGGAATTCGAATCATCAAGTGCCTGTTAACACCTCCCAAAGAAGCCCCCAGGCAGCAACAGCCGGGCTTTGCAACTGCAAGGCTCCTCAATGCTAATCACACTGGCTATTTGCAACATTCACACTTTCTTCAAACAGACAGTAGTTTCCTCATCACACCTAATTTTTACGATTCTTATAATTTGAAAATACTACCACAGAAAGCTGGCTCCTCCCAATCCATTTAAAACATCCTTTCCATCACTCTATGACCCTTTAAAAAGCATCATTGCTGATGGGAGGAATAACGTGATTAGAATTCTGTCTTCAAAAAATCAGTTTCTTTAATGCTTTGCAGACAGATTCCAACATAATACCGGTGGGATAGGGCAAATGTCATGTTCGAAATCATTCTCAAACAGTCTTAGAAATTGATTATTTCCTAATAAGGTCCTCTATCAAGTTGGTAGATTAAATAGTAGGAAACTGGCTTTATTCCCATTTTTATTGTTTTTATTTATTTCCATTTGGATCCAGTTGAAGACAGGATGCTGCAAGAGAGGAGTTATGCTTTTGATCCAGCAGCACAGGGTAGAAAGCAAGAGCAGTACTTAGGACTTCATCACACTAGAGCATGGACCCATTTTAAATCCGGTTGCTTCCTCCTGCAGAATTCTGGGGCTTGTATAAGGAAGGGCCTTTAAACTGGTCAGCCAGGCAGGTCCTGGGACTCACTAAAGTACAACCCCTAGAATTCTGCAGGAGGCAGCAACTAGATTTAAAGTGGATCCATTTATTTTTTTTTGTCATGTCAGGAGCATCCTGTTGTGAGAGAATTGGCCGTCTGCAAGGACGTTGCCCGGGGACGCCCGGATGATTTTTGATGTTTTATCATCCTTGTGGGAGGCTTCTCTCATGTCCCCGCATGAGGAGCTGGAGCTGATAGAGGGAGCTCAACCGCCTCTCCCCGGATTTGAACCTGCGACCTGTCAGTCTTCAGTCCTGCCAGCACAGGGCTTTAACCCACTGTGCCACCGGGGGCTCCAAGTGGATCCATGCTCTAGTGGGATGAGGCACTTATGCTCAAAAGGGACCAAGACTCCATCTGGAAATTAAATTATTTTCCTTTGGACTTCCTCTTGGTGTAAGAAGTGTGTTTATTAAAAGGACTTCTGTAATACTGCGACTTTATGCATGTTTAGGAGAGCCATCGAGTATTTCATGTGCTAGGGTTCCTTTGCACAAAAAAAGGAAAACTGGGTTAGTATTATGAGTGCTTGTAGAAAGCCTTCAATGGCCTTTGGTCATCCAGTGAAATTCTGTAGTGGACTTGACATTTTTGCCAGGTAATCAAGTGCCACGTCATTCCAGTTTGTCAGAGAGAACAAACCTGTTCCTGTGTGATCCCAGAAAGTTTGAGCAGCCACCACATTGTGTCCATATTGGGATGGAAATGGTTCTTTCCTCAAGTTAGCCAAGTTATTGTTGGGTTTTTTTTTTTTTCTTTTGGTCATGGATACCTTTCAGAATCTCTTGGAAACTATGGAGTCCACTCCCCAGAAAAATCCATGGCAGAAGACAAATTGTAGCTTTCTCACCTTGTAAATTAATTTTGTACAGATAAGCTACTCAGGAACAACAACAAAAAAGTGATGACTTGAAAGGACCAAATTTCTACTCTAACTATGTGACGGGGGAAAATAACAACAGAATGAAAAAGAATGAGAAGGGTGGAGGAAATGGCACACAGTTCATGGATTTCCTGAAGCCCATTCTGTTTATGGACCCTCTGAGTGAGAAAATGGGGCAATGCCACTGAAACAATCTTCTTGATTTAAAAAAAATCAGATTTTGACAATAATTGAAAGCAGCGTGTTCTGTCTCAAAAGTAAAAAAATAACCTGCTTTGTTAGAAATCCAGATTTACCCTTGACTTCAACACTAATCTGTCAGACTAGTGGCTGCTTGGTTCATATCCAGGTCAATTCTTGTGGAAACACTGATAACTGATTGTTTATCTGCAATAAACTCAGTGACTCACCTGAAGGTTTGTGGTGGAAACTTATTGTCTTTGGATGGTTGTTTGTATAGAGCAGAGGTTCTCAGACTTTTAAAGCAGCACCAGTTCATGGTCCCTCAGACCGTTGCGGAGCCAAACTGTAGTTTGAAAGAAATCATGAATGAACTCCTATGCACACTTCACATATCTTATTTATAGTGCAAAAAAAATGAAAGAACAAAAAAATATTTAAAATTAAGAACAATTTTAACCGACACAAACCTACCAGTATTTTAATAAGAAGTGTGGGCCTGCTTTTGGCCGATAAAATATTCATGTTTATTAGGATTGTTGTTGTCTGCCTTCAAGTCATTTCAGATTTAAGATGACCATAAGTCTAAAGTTTAAGGCAGGGGCTGGGTAAATTACCTTGGAGGGCCTTAGTTTGACAACCCCTAGTATATGGCTTTAGAAAACTAAACAACTATTGATTTATTTTCTATAGAGAAGCAACCATATCTTGGTGACAGAATACATGTTGTGCATGCATAAAATGCAACTTTCTGGCATCTTCATGTAGGACTGGGGAAAAACATGCCTGCAGATCTACAGAACTGTTGCCAGTTGAAAGTAGTCAGCTGAGCTAGATGAACCAAATTCTAATTCAGTCTAAACCAACTGCCTGTCATTGTTATTAGTGGAAGGATAGGCCCTGAACGTGGCTGACTGAGTAATCAGGGAGCGGCAGCAAAAGAAACGAGCCTTCTGGCTACCTGTCTTTAATGAA